TAGTTTTATATCATGTATCTTTGTGCATGTGTGCATTTTATGAATATGATTGATTTGATCAACCAGTGCTCATTATTCCATGTGTACATGTAATTAATTCGTTTTATTTATTTTCATTCCCAGCTTTGCCTCTGTTTTTGCATATTTAATGATGTAATACATGATCTCTGTCTTTAATGATTATATTTGTCATAAATTGCTTGCTAAATTTAGTTCTATTTTAAGAAATATATATATAACATACATGTAAATGTATAGTAAAAATGTATAAAATTGATTTAATATGAAATTAATAAAAGCAGGTTTTCAATTAGTGTATTTTGCTGTGTTTTTATTAAGTAATAACTGGAATCTTGTATATATTTATTCATAATTGCAGTAAATATTACGAAAATCAGGACATATATTTGTTAAATATTCCTATAACTAACACAGTATTTCCTATTGGTGAACAGGTAAATACAGGTAAATAATCTACCTGTACTATACCAGAACATACTATAATGACACCTCTATTGTTTTCCAGTGTTTATATAATTCCTTTAATCAGAACAAAGTGGGAGAAAGGAGAACAAACCATCGTTGTAAACGCCTCCGTAAAAATATGAAAACTCCTTTTTTTCATTAACAGTAAACTGTTCTATTGGGAGTATTCGAAATGAAACCATCCAAAGTGTGCAAGGTAAGTTTACAAAGTTGTTAAGCAGACCAAACAAACCTTCAGGGTTGGAATACAGTTTTACTTGTTATGAAAATATGTGATAATTAAGAAATTCATACTTCATAGTAATTTATTAAATTCTAAATACTAAATGGTATTTTTCGTTTTGTTTTGTAACCATAATGTTAAAATATTGATCGGCTTTGTTTGTATTTCAGGTGTTCGTACAACTCGGGTATACATTCATGCTTTTGGTGATCTTCTTTGTCGCTCAGCTTACGCTCGTATTGTCATTAAGCTGGAAAAAATATACTGATTTGGAAGTATGGTATGTATTGAAATATTTCTTAAAGAAATCTACCTGTTTCAAATCTTACACACTTTGAATTATTTTGATACTTGAAGTGAATTGTGATTTTAAAATACTCATGGTAACAATTAAGATATGCGTAATTTCTGAATTGCCGAAGAAAAGGATATTTGAAGAAGAAATGGGCAGGGACATATGTGTATAGAATGCATAGGGATAAATTGAGTAATTACTTGCAAAGAATACGGCACTTACAGTACCGGCTGCTGGTCGCTGGTCTCCCGATACTCCGGCTTTCTTTTACCACCAAAACCTGGCCCTTCCTTAAATGACCATAGCTGTTAAGAGGATGGAAAACACAAACCTACCAAACCAAACCCCTTAAAACTTTCATGTTAATATAAGCATTTGCGACCAGCTCATACGTTTGGATTTGAACAACTATAGGCATATTATATTTACTTCCTTCACATGGGCATTTAGTCCATTTTTACCACCTAAACATGAATATATATATAAATGAATCTTTAAAATAACACATTTACAAAAGTTTTGGATAATGTGTTATCTTGTACGGTGCCCTCTTTCCTTGAACTGCAACGAATAAGAATATTTTTGATTCTTTATTGGTTTTGATTTAGCTTTAAGCGATTTGAAATTAAATTAACAAGTTCATTATGTTTTAAGGCTGACATCACAAATAGGTGACCATAGATTGGCAGGTAGTCCGAACAAACTATTGATATCCTTTCATTAAATTGTTGATATTTTGTTATTAAGCTGTTGATATCCTAGTATTATGACATAGCGGCTTGATTGTTATTAACATCTTGGTTTCCCGTCATTTCACCATGTGTCATTAACTGTTGATATCATATCAATGGACCGTATGTCATTAACTGATATTTACCTTCGAATGGCATTGCCACTATATAACCCTACCAAATTCAGTTGGCTTTCATATAGGCTATGGATGCCATAGACCGATTGTTGACGTCATCATTAATATGACGTCATAATTGTTTCGTTGGATACTACTGGCCATCCCCGGCGATGGCTGTTGTATTCATTGAACAAGCATACATGATACATACATTATTTGAAGTAAATGCTGACTAAAGTGTAATTATGAGAAGTTCTTTTTACACAGCAAATAAAAAAACCTTTATGACGTTTCGATGACTAGTACGATATGTACACTGTCACCTTCATCAGACAAATGACCAATGAAGCGTATGCAATTACAATAGTTGTTATAAATGTACCGAAATGACTCAATTCAGCTACGCTTTGTTAATACTTGGTCATAGATGTGCGAGAGTCTTTGAGCCCCCTTGTCTCGATTTAGAACCATCGAATGTTACTCTCGCACATCTATGACCAGGTGTTAACAAAGCGTATCTGAATTGGGTCATTTCGGTACATATATAACAACTATTGCACATACGTTTCCAGCGTAGCCGAAATCGACATCGATTTTATAGACAACTCGTATACATTTTACACATTTGTGTGCATACGCTTCATTGGTCATTTGTCTGATGAATGTGACAGTGTACATATCGTACTAGTCATCGAAACGTCACATAGAAAATTGTATTGGTTGTGTAAAAAGAACTGAAGAAAACGTTTAGAAAGATAAGTGTAATTAAATATATTTTATAAGAAGAACAGATTCCAAAAATGGTAAATATAAGTATTGAACTGCTTTCAATTGTCATTCATAGGCAATATGAATGCCAACTGGAAGCAGTTCAGTGTTAATTGATAACATATCAATGGGACTTTATGCCGCATGCCATTTATTTACTGATTCCCTGTCATTCTGGCATAACGGGTGATTGGTTTATATTAATCTTTACTGGCATACCTGTCATGGTGTCTGTATAAAGGAAACTGCAGATATCTTGTGAATGCGCCATCATGAGATTCGACTAGATAGTTTTGATGTGATACATTATCTTATCAACATGACATTAATCAACTATAATGTGCTTATTAATGTATCATTAATAGGCAATATTTAGATGGTATACCGTCACTGTGACAGTGTTATCGATTAGAACGTTATATATCCAATGTATTATGTCAAAAACAACCCAGTTTCTACTACATTTGTTTGTTTTTTCCACAACAGTCTTCCTCCTAGTAACCAGATTTGATCATGTCTTTATACGTATACAAGTAGTCATGACTGAATTTACATGATATATTATGTTGATGATTTATCATTGTTTTAGGTACGTGTGCATTGGGTTTGTTCTGTTTATACCAGAGGTTGTCCATATTATACAAATATTTTGGTGTGCCTCCTTCCTGACTGCTGGAACAGCAGCTCAATGGCCTATGTTCCGAGGAATATGTAGTGTAAGTAACAACAGCGGACAACATGGATTGCTATTTGAACGGGAATATATTATTAAGGTATTATAAACTTGCCCTCAAAATGACTGTATAGTCTACCCAAATATAACAACCATACTTATGGTTCATCATCTGATAGACTGCTTCCAATACATTAAAGATAAAAGATAACACCTCTAAATATCGAAATTACTGAAAGCCCCAGATGTAGTTGAACCAGGTCGTGAGTAAAACGTCAATTATTCAACAAAGTCATTTTATAGATGATCTTTCATTCTAGTGTATATTTCAGTTATGGATATGTGTTTGTTTATTTTAGGGTATCGTTCTGAGTTTCATTGAGGCTGGTTGTATATCAATGCTGACGTACGTTATACTACCACTGACGCCAGGCTACATCATGCTTCCATTACTGAATATAACATTGTTGCCAGAACTATCACAATCAGTCAAGGTATGAACTTTTAGAGAAAAACAACAGTCAATGTATTTTTAGAAAGAAAAAAACCCAGTCAAGGTATGTATTTTTAGTAAAAAGTCGGTACCAGTTTGTGTTAATCTGAAAGCTAAAATTACATGTTTTCAATAACAATATTGGTCCTACAAAATATACGATGTTTAATTACTGAATTAAATATAAACGTTGAATGATGATATAAAAGAAGTGAGTTATTGTGTTCCTTCACCTACAGTGTGCTATAACGAGGGATACCTGGTGAATAACCTCGACTAAATGTAAATTAAAATCCTTATACTTTTAAAATATATATTAGCTTAATCTTATCAATGAAATAGAAATCATAAATCTTCAAAATAAGAATCGTACAGGTGTACGCATAACTTATTTCGAAACATTTTAATGTTTAATCATGCATTTTTTTTCTTTTTTTTTTCTTAGGCAATCAATAACAAATATTTACACACGTGTATGGAACCTACGTTGCGGATTTTAGGCTGCGTGGCCATCCTTCTTGCTGGAGTAGTATCAAGCATTTTACTATCGCACTCGGGTATCCTCCTAGCCCACCAAGCCGCCCTGCTACCACTCTTACTGATCGGAGCGTCACTAAGCTTGTATACACCAGTCCAAAAACATATCTATGGTGTCTCAGAAGCTTCTTTACATAACGTTTCTCTGTTATATGGATCGTTGAGAACGTTAACATATATTTTGTTTTGTTTAATGTGTTTTAACAGTGACAAAATTGGAGCTATATCTCTTGACTTCCGACAATTGATTAAGGGATTCCAAGCATTGAGTAGTTCTGAAAATTTTCATATTTTGATAGTTGTGCATAGCGTGCTTTCGTTTATTTCACTGTTATCGTACTTGGTTCCACAGAAGTCTTCATTCACCACGTTCTGTCCATGTTTTCTTTCTCCTATATTAACTTCAATACTTTTTATAATTCTTGTAACACATGGACATGTGGCATTGGATATAATCGATCCACTTGTGAGAGATATAAAAATAACAAGTGATCTTATTGTCATAATAAGTTTGTGTGCAATTCTAACAGTGATTCCACTATGCCTAGTGCTTATACCAAAGTGCTTTCGAAAATATGAGAATATTGTAGAAATAACACATGAATCAAACAGAGGAATACACCGTTATAACTCATTATTTCTTCTGCATTTTGTGATGATACAACAAAAAGTGTTTAGAAAACATTCTAATGAAGGCATGGAACAAGCAATGAACAGACCATCAAGAGTGTATATTTGTACTACAATGTACCAGGAGGCTGAACACGAGATGGCCAGGCTTCTCAGGAGCTTGGATCAAGTAATGACGTCACAGAAACTCAAAAGGAAAAATATCTATATCGAATCTCATATATTTCTTGACAATGGAGCGGATGGTAAGGAAATGAAGGACTTCGGAAAACAGTTACTATCTTTAGTAGAAGAAACGATTGAACTACGAGCAGAGTCTGGTATAATGTTATACACACCTTACGGGATACAATTGCACTGGGTGCTAGAATGTGGCACGCCACTCTTTATACATCTGAAAGACACAGCAAAGGTCAAGGCAAAGAAAAGATGGAGTCAGGTGATGTATATGGAGTACATTCTCAAATACAGATCTAAATGGGCTGGAATGCATAACCCCTACGAGTCGAAAACAATGTCCTCCAATCCTTCATTTACATACGATTCAACGGAGTCTCTTGATAGGCTAAATGACTATTACTTGTCAAATGACAATAATGGTACAGAGAGGAGAAATCCGACATTTACAAATGGCAACTTTTTGGACATCCCTGACATCATCCTTAATCACCCTGGTGACGACGCAGACGACAATTCAGCTGATAATTTCACGATCGACATGGCTTCAAACGATGGAAGTCTTTATCCTAGTGAAACACCAAGTCGGGCCGGAAGTGATTTGTTTGTAAAAGAAACACCACTGGAAATCCACACTCAAGAAAGTACGATTTTTTCTGTATCTCTCTCCATGTCAAATATAGCGGGACCTTCTATTTCGCAGTCAATGGACAATTATGTCCTAATGACTGACGCTGATATGTCGTTCGACGATGGCGCTGTCCTTGCTGTTGTTGATGTTTGTAAGAAGGAACCTGACGTCGGAGGAGTCTGCGGTAGGACTTTTCCAACAGGGCTGTACAGACATCCAATACTCTGGCTGCAAGTGTTTGAATTTGCTAAAGGTGGGTTAATCCATTACCTTATTGATGAGAACATTAATTTGTAGAGTCAGAACAGGTTCACTATGCTCTCGGTAAATAGACGCTACCACTGTGTTTATAGCTAACTGCATCTCATACATGCATACATATGATTTGAGTTGCTTTCCTGAAAAGTTTGCATTATTGTTTTCTATCTCATCAACAGCTTAAGCAATATCGTTGCGCTTGACATTACTTTTAAAAGAATTCTCCTTAACAAATGGACCGGTCTTATCTGTTAACGTTAATGCATTATATTTAAACTTATTCAAGTATTTCATGTGAACAGAAATACCAAACAATGTCACTTTTTATATTTAAATTGGACTATTTTGATTTTTTTTAGATTTCTGGATGATAAAGAGTTCCCAAAATGTTATTGGCTCCGTGATGTGTTGTCCCGGATGTTTTAGCCTATTTCGATTCGAAGCATTGTCAGATATTTTTTCCACTTACTCTAGTCCGACAGAAACAGTGATGGATGTGTTCACGAAAGATAACGGTAAAAATAGAATAATTTCTTTTAGTTTTTCATGCCAGAATATTGAAATTAAAACATTTAAGTCTTTAAATTACATAGATTCCTTTAATCAATTTGCATTTCTTAAGAATTAATTCAGATACATAAATGATTATCCTGTCGCATACCATGTTCACAGCTCACATGAAAGCTGAAAACACTAATTTTTTTTGGAATAACTTCAGCAAACCTTTAACAAAGTTGTTAATTCTATCACCTGCTTCATGGTTATAAATATGTTTCCAGTATGCTTCACAACATGTTTATCTACAATTTTCAGGAGGTAATTAAATAAATAAATAATTAAATATCGACTGATTTAGGAAAAAATAAACTATTGACAAAAAGATTATCAAAAAATACTTTCAAAATAAAAAAACTATCTAGATTTGTTAAGCTAATCTTTTGAAAATACCCACCACTTTTTGTAAACTGTTCTATGTTTGTATCCACTTTAAGGTGAAGATCGTTGGATGTGTACTTTGATGATGTTAAAGGGCTGGAAACTTCGATACACACAGGCGGGGCAAAACAGCACATTTTGTCCAGAGACTACTTTGGAGTTCATGAAGCAGCGAAGACGGTGGCTTCTATCGGACTATACAAATGCGTTACTAGTTATCCAAAATGTAGCCAATCTGATGACCATCAACTCTGCCTTCTCATTAACATACGTACTGTACGTGGTACAACTGTTCCTCATCATGGTTCTGTACCCTGGTGCCACCGTAATGATGTTATCCCTGGGCCTTGAGTTGGGTTCTGGGCTTCCTCTTGTTGCTATAACACCAACGTTTTACCTTCTGATTGTTGGATACAGCATTGTGTTGGTGAAAGACATATCCGCTTCAGTACAGCTGGTGATATGTAAACTGCTGATAGTAGTTCTAGGGGTGGGAACACTGTATGTGTTTGGTTCAACGGCTGTTATAATCATGCAAGCACTGATCAACGGCAAGTTGTTTTACTTACTCAAACCTTACAATTTATACAATTAGATGAAGCAAAATCTGCACCAATAAAGCTAAACATTATACTGCATTGATATTAAAAATAGCTTATGAAAAATCAAAATCAAATGAATATTATTATCGTATTTTATTCTAGAAAACGGTAATCGCAATTCCACACAAATAGAACCGCAACATATATTCTTCAAATGAACAATATAAATTTATTATTGAATTGAAAATAATTATGAATAGGTTTGTTTAATATACATCAAACTCATTTTTCAGATTACAACCATCAAGAGTTGGGGCACATCGAGTACCTACTGATACTGTCCCTGGCTGCCACCTACCTACTAGCTGCTATCGTCCACCCGTCCGAACTCAAGATCCTGCTCTATGGCATACCTTACATGTTCTTTCTACCTCTGCTCAATATCATTCTGCCAATTTATGCAATGTGTAATATCGTTGACCAGTCCTGGGGTACTCGGGACAATGTAAGTTAACTTACATTAAGTATAGTATAATTCAGAATTCTCATTGATGTCTGTTTCATCATTGGACCCATTGTTTTCTGTCTGGACAGATTCAAATTACAAACATGACCTCCGTAAAGTAGGATAATTACTTTTAGGACTGTTATTGTGACTAACTATATTCGTTTTAAAAACATAATGAGATATGTTAAATAATATTTCAAACAAAGACAACAATAACTTACTCACTATCAATGAGAAGGCGATATATTTATCAATTATGGAATAGAAATGTTTATTTGCAATATATGGTTATTAGACAAGGCCATGGAAAATATCCTGTGAAAATATCAAGTTAGGAAACTAGTACATGTTTTATTTTCATTATTTGTTCCTTGATTTTCAGCAATTAGCGAAGGTACCAAAGTTCTTAAGCCTACCGAAACTGAAAAAGCGGAAGAGGAAGAAAAAGACAAGATCACTGTCTCATAAAGGTGATGTTTTTTTTAATTAAGAAAAATCGATTACAACAAATTTACTAAAGAACTAATGTTTGTTTCCAAAATGAAGTATCTTCCAATTAGGATCGACCACGTGAATTATACCCCTGTTGAATCGTGTTATGTTTTGCTATTTTAACACCACAAGTAGGGTCAACCGGAAATCTCTTCATATACAAGCTACCTGTGGGTGTTCTCTATGTCTCTCCATTTGGTTTTCTAAATGTTATAGTTTCTTCTGATTTTGACTTTGAGTTAAGATCATGATTGTGTTATGACAATGACTTATGTAGTTTTTACTTGAATCACTCTTGATGTGTTTTCTCGTTAAATTATTCTATATGGAAACTACGTTTTAAGTTTGTCATAAACGACTAAAATTCAATCTGTTTGGAAGTTACACTTTCACATGTTCCCCTGGGGAAGAATGTCATAAACGACTAATGTCAACACACATCTTGAATAAAAAATATAAAACAAAAGCTTATTTTCCCCATACGCAGAGGTGAAGTGTAAGGATATTCCATAAACTGTCAGGGGTAAAGATAAAATATGTCCGTATCGCTTGATTTTCCTGTCTCGCTCTACATGATAACAATGATATGACGTCTCAACAAAAGTCATTATTAATATATCCTACTTGAGAGAGAACGAAAATGAAATTATTAGAAAATATGTAGTTATGTAAAATTGTTAGAAGTAGAAAATCAAACCTCGCAATGAGGTTCCTACAAGCTTCGACACCCAAGTATGAACCCACGGGCTGAATGATGAACATAGTCTAATTTTCTAGATGTATATTATTATAAGATAAAGCAATTGTTTATAAATGATCCACAACACAACGTGATGGATTCTTACTCTTTTATTTTACTCTTCAACAGGGTCATACACAAGTTTGAACAGTTCTGTGTTGGATCTTCAAAACTTCAACGAAGACGAAGATTCGTTTTGGGAGAGAGTGGTGAAAAATTTAATCGGGGTCAATGTTCCCGGAGGAATGTCGTCAGACGAGAGGACAGAGGGACTACGTGTTATGAGAAAGAAAGTGGTGATTTGGTTTCTCTCTATCAACGCTGTGTGGGTCATAATACTATGTGGGTGTTATGGATTTCTACTACAACTCATGGACAACAAGACAATTTTCAGTGTTGTAATGATTTCATCCTTAGGCCTCACACCATTAATACAAGTGACAGGGATGCTTGTGGACAGAGGTTGTGTATTATTTAGACTAATAAGAAAATATTTGTAATACATGCTTCGATCACATTTCTATTGCTGAGTTATAAATTATTTCAGATATATGTATCACTACCATAGACAGTTACGAATTGGAACAAAAGGTGATTGCAAAAACGGTTTGCTCCAAATTGTAATCCTTTAGTCAGGACTCATAAGTGTCACTTACGTTGTACTATCCTTCACAAAGAAGTACAGAATAATTCCCTAAAATTCCACAGATTTGTCTCCAATTTAGGTAAGAGAAAACTCTCGCACGCATTAGCTGAAGTTGTGTCACTGTAGTTGTGGCAATTGCCTCTGATATTGCTGAGGTGATTTAAATAGATATGATCAGTAAAAGCGGATTATTGGCGTAAGACATAAGTTATTAAAACACACGTCTGATTAAGACAGTAAAATGCGCAGCTCGTGTAGTAACCTAATTAAACCCAGGACATACATCGTTGTTGGCTTTTAAATATTACAATCGGATTGATATTTGTCTGTCTGCGTTACTCGGGGATCAATCCATCTGACGACATTTTGGACCTAGACAGCTAATTGAGCAAATTATATGCTTTCTTCAACTAACAAGTCAAAAACTTGCGTCTGTTGGAAATCCTTTCTATTCCTATTTGCGTCCGTCGGTCCGTTTGTCTGTCTCTTTTTAGCTCGCAAACAGCGCTTATCGTTCATTTGTTTTCTTCTCACATGTTTACATTTAAAGTTTCATATGCTGTTTATCTTAACAAATAAAATCTATGAAAGAAACAAGTGCGTTTTTCTCTAACCTTCGGAATTTGTTTTCCACACACCGAAGTTTTACTCTTCGCGGTGTTAAGTATGTATATTATAGTTTTGCTTTATTAATCAACTTGAAAAAAAGTACAAAAACATGCCGGACAAGGGGAAACCTAGCAAAATTGAGAGAGAGAGAGAGAGAGAGAGAGAGAGAGAGAGAGAGAGAGAGAGAGTTCTCTATCTACTCGTAGATCATACAGGGTGGTGTATTTTATCATTTGTATGGCACCACACGTTTTACTGACCCATACATATGGTGCTACACTACAGGTGATACACCACGCGTGATTCTATCCAAGCCTGGCTACTGCAACATGTAAAATTATCATGGAGGTATAATGTGTTTAAGAAAATAGTATATTGAATTAATTTAATGAAGGGTAACTAAATGATGTTGTGACAATTGGGGTTATTTGGGAAAGATTACAGGACTGATCTGCGTATATCTAGGCCCGAGTAGAAGTGGGAGCGACAAAGGTGCTGAACTGCTTACGTCAATGCCAACAGTAAACGCCCCGTTAAAGACTTTTTTTAAATGTACCTTAATGTATGTCAAGTGATATATCTTGTTCACAAGACGGTCACGTTCACATCCAGATATCAACCGTAAAGGAACCAAAGTGTAAGATATCCACTAAGAAATAGCCGCTTTTTCAATCCCCCTTTCTGTAGAACTGAGAATTATTTCAATAGTTATTTTCTCTCAATGTGTAGAGAATTTAATCCTCTATCTGCAGAAACTTTAAATGCTACTTCCCTTCAAAAATTTAAAAATTTCATCAAGTCTGATAATATGAACAACACTGTAGAAATTGCTAGCACATTTAAACACTATGGGCCAAGACAATTCAATATAATAATTTGTCAGCGAAGAAATAATGCTAGCAACCTAAATAGTGACTTATATATGAATCATCTGAATGACACACCAGCATGTAGATGTGGACGTGAAAATGAAAATGCACTTCATTTTATATTTGAATGCCCACTCTATAACAATATTAGAATGCAATTAGTAATAAACATTTCTCAATTTGGTATAACTGGTAATCATGATCATTTTAATCTAAAAACTGTATTAAATAGTGCTTAATATGCAGCGTTGATATCAACATATCCATTTTACAAAGTTTATCTGACTACATTTGTCAAACTAATAGACTTGATATGTAATCTCACTCATAGCTTAACTTGACATTGAAAGTGATGCTATTATTTATAGTGTCATGATCACTCTGCTAATAAGTATTGTTACTGGTGTATATTTATCTTCAGTGTACTATTCTATAACCTGTTCTAACTATTTCATAGTTAGATGAATATTCTATAATGCTGTGTTAAATAAATTTTAAGAGAATCATTTCCAATAATAGATAATAACAACGACATTTTCCTTTATGAATCCATATCATATTCTGAAATTTTACAAAATATTTATTTCTTGGTAACTTATCCTATATATCCATTTGGTGGACGGCCAATGTTTTTATACACAGGGACTTTTGGGCCTGTTTCCCTTGGATTTTATGTAGGATGGGTTGTCAATAAATATACGTGATTTATTTAATTGTTAATATCCAAAACATAAAAGGATTAAATAAAAGTTGTAAAATGTTCATTTCAGAAGCTAAATTGGGGTTATCTCCCCTGCGCTGTTATTGGATTGTTATGACAGAATATATGTAATGTTTGTAAATAAGTTTGGAAAGGACTTAAATAGGCTTAGCCTGATGTCCAATCCAATTGACATATATAAAGTCAATAAAATCTGTTGAAATCAAAGGAACCAAAGTTATTTCTGATCTTGTTTTTTCTTGAATCAATTTTTTTTTTTTTTATATGAATAGTGATAGGAATGAACAAAAGTATTTCATAATTTGCCTTTTTGTTATGATAGCAGTGTACAGTAGAAATGGCCCGACTCTGATAAACAAGGCACATGTCGAGGAAATGTAAACACAGCGGATTACCCTACACAACACATGTATACATGTATATATATTTATAAACTGCATTACATTTACAATACATATAAAGTACTGAGAAGTGTATAAACCTCTTTTTTTCTATGTATGTCACTTGTGTGAAAACCATGGTTACCACATCAAATATTACCAAAAAATGCCAAAAATTGCTATTTTTAACCCAAAATTTGACCCCCGCAACTAGTAATTTTTTTCCTAAGCTCTGTCTGAAATTAAAGATTACCTACCTGGTTGCAGAATTATCTGGGTCCCAGTAAAGTTGTAAAACTTGATTTTTTGCAATTTTGCGTCGTGTGCTGTTGTCAAAATTTTACCTCCTGTAAAGCTAGCTTTTCATGTGTACGCACCCTTTCGTATTATGGCCAAAATTTTATCCTCGAACCAAAGAAATCTTCTTTCTTTTTTACAAATGTGAAGCTCACATAGCCCACTTCATCATGCTTATACCAATTTTAGTACAGTTTTATTTTTTATATTTTTTTTACATATCATTATACAGGGGTTAGCTATTTAACAAAAATATCACCCATGGCCACAACCCTCTACTGTATACTGCTACGTAATATCATATAATGAAAGCTGAATATGACCCTAACAGGGACGTTAGCACATAAGGTGATACGTGGGACAGGAAAGGCATATAAGATTTGAAAGACAGAGGAAACAAGGAGTAAGTAGAAATAAGGAAGAGACATGAGCGGCAGGACAGATAGAATAGGCAGGAAAGACGGAAGAGAGTCGAGAAAGGAAAAAATACATGATAGACGTAATTGACATGTGAGACAGAAAGGATAGAGAAGATATAGGAGATAGGGAAGACAAAAACAGACAGGAGAGGCAGGAGAGAAGGGTAAAACAACAGTAACATGGAAGAAAATATGGACAAGAAAACATAAGTAAAAGTGTAGAAATGATACAAGAGACAAGGAAAGATATAAAAAGTTTCGAAAAAAATCCTGTAGCCGTTATGATACAGTCCAATGGTGGCGACAATACATATATAAATAGATATACATTTTATATTCGTACCAGTACCCATTATAACAATTTTCATAAGTTTGAATTATTTAAATAGCTAATTTTACTTTCTAGTATTTTCGTTTGCAACATTTGATCATTGTGTATATCTTTTGCTATTCACTGAGTTAAAATAAGAATTAGAACACTGACAGGTCAGCAAGGGGCCCGCCATATGTTTGACCATATATATCTCCCATATTCGCTGAGCAGGCGCCACATCAATCATTTTGAGGGAGTTTAAAGAATGACCAATAAAGAATTAAGCATGTTTGTAATCTGACAAATTACCGTTGCCATCAAGTATGAATAAAATTAGACAAAAGTATTGAAGAGTAAAATTTCAGCAAATCAGAAGCCATGGAAACCATCTTGTTTTTTTCTGATCGGGGCAATAATTATAAGTTATCTTTTACCATGTGCGTTATCCACTAAGTACTATTTAAGAGAAAATAAAATCAAACACATATTAATAAATCAAAAGTTACAGCCATATATGTGCCAGCCAATCAGAATCAACAGATAGTGATTACCTTGGAAAGTGGCAATACGCACCAAGTACGGTGTCATTTGTCACACAATCTAATTTGTAAAACAAGCATAGTAGCCATATATGTGTCAGCCAATCAGAAGAACAGATGAGACGTGGGTTAGTAGTGTACGAAGCGTGTTTAACCCAAATCAAGTCATTAAATATTGTGGTGATCGAAAGGCAATCGACCTATCAGAATGCAGTAGACTCATCAAATATACTCTGAAAGTGACATCATAGTCAACCTATCAGAAGGCAGAAGCTTGGATATTAGTAAATTAATAGCATTCAGTCAATGCAACATCCTCATTAAATATGCGTCGAAATTGTCAAGCATCGACCCCCAAAAAGGGACTTGGATAAGTATTACATAAACCAAGTTTAATCAAATTCCTACATTTTTCTTCTGAAGATACCACGCGGAAAACAAACAACGGCGAACAGACGGATACGCTGATATTTATAGGGCATCGCAACTTCGATGTGGGGCAGAAATTAATAACTTGCAAAAATAGGGATTGAAATGTATTAGGAATCTTTAGTAGATAGCTACAATCCTTGTGTATTAACATTTCTTTCTGTGTTGATACAGACGAACATCACCGTATTGTTTATTTGATAACTTATACAATTATATTACAGCTAAAAAAACAAAAAGCCTAACCTGTCCGAGATAATCGAACCTGTCCTTCGACCTGGAGATATTTAAAAAATTAAAATGATTTTAAATGAACAGATATCTTCCCATCCTATTGTATACAGCCATGACATACAATAACGACACGATTAAACATGCAGCACTGAAATACATTTCAAACAAAATAAAAGGCGCAAAAGAACTAAAGAGTACCAGTAGGAATATTTGTATTTTACTTTGTTGGTAAATGCCTTTCATTTAAGTTACAATTACCAGATATACATAGTACACTGTTAGTTTCATGACGTGCTTAGTAGCATGTCCATTTGCATTTGCAAAGTCTTGTCGATCATTACTACACGAGTAATAAAAGTTGTTCAATATTCTATACCATTTTCGTTTATTCGCAAGATGACGAAATGTAAAAAAACAACAACAACACAAACATGGACTACATACGAGAAATCATACGAGTCCGTGAAAGCACTAGCATTTAATTTCAATAAACTTTATGCTGTAAGGTATAGAAATGGATCAGACATATATAATCAAGGAAATAGATACGAGAAATCCCTACACGGAAATTTGTTTTGAACAAATTCGCGAAAATTGTATCACACGCAATTAACCCTATTAACACGGTCATAAGTGTTTACGTAAAATAAATTATAAACACTTTGTCTACATTGTGACTGACAGGACATTCGGGAAGAGCTGTGATACTGTACTGTCCAGTCTGCTGTCACAAGTACAAGCATGGAGTGTCCCTGCAAACTGTAGGTCTATATATGG